TATCCATTGTGATGTAAGACTAATCATGCTAACGGGGCTAACACGATGTCCAAATGTCTGAGGTAAAACTCACCCAACAAGTTGTGCTATCAGCTATTAGCTTCTCAATGACGTCGGAAATGACGGCTTGTAACTCGAGTAATGTTACGTCGGAAAAATATCTTCGACTGGGGACGATGAAGTGAGTCTCAATTTAGTCCATAAATCTTCGGAATCCGACATTCTCACAAAAGAATAATAAAACTTCCACACGCCGACATTTTGAATTTTCCTCTCCTCCATGCGATCAGGCAGGCGCACGTGACGTCATCGCGTTGTGCTGCCGCTGCAGGTACAAACAGCGCCTTTTATATCGGCGAGTTATTTTAATGGAATGTCCGATGTTGAAATTTAGCTCTAATATCGGCCGATACCATGCCGATAATATCGTGCACCCCTAATATATATATATATATAATTCTGTTAAAGTTCTAACCAAAGACAAGTGATTTCTTGAATTAACTTTTAGATTTTTTTCATATTACTTTAGTCAGTTTCTGGTTATTTCAGTGACCTTTGTGGAGTTTCATTTCTTTATTTAAAAGGGAAAAAAATCACGGTTGTCTTCATATTTTTATAGACTTTACATCTTGTATTAGCACTGTTTCTTAATGAAGATTAAAAAAAAAAAAGATCCCTCCATCCATCCTTTACCTGCTTCTTCCTTTGCATGTTGCGGGGGTCACTGGTGTTCAGTCACTGTGAGATGGGCAGGAGACAACCTGGACAGGTCTCCAGTCCATCACAAGACTAAAACTTGATGAGAACGTATATTTTTTGAGGTTGCAAAAAAACGAGCCTGTCACCAAAAACATGTCACAACGAAGACAATGGTAAAAATATACTGCCTGACAATTCATCGCTTAAGAGATTGACTGTTGTAGTTGGAAAGAAACAGTAAATGAGTTTATACAGCTCCTTTCTATCTTATGAAGATACTCAAAGCTCTTTACAACACAATCTGTGCCCTCATTTACCCATTCATACAACACTCTACTATAGCTATAATTAATAATAATTATTATTCAGTACAATGAATGTTTAAAAAGTTTTTGTGTTTTGTTAACAACCTTCCTCTTGGCGTGTTTTAGAGGAGGTAACTGACAATGAAGCACCGTGCTGCATTCCCAGGGTGTTTCTGGTTTACACGTCACATCCCACTGTTTAAGAGCCGCTAGTTTATAATAAAGTTTGTGTTTAAACATATAAATTCTTCAAAGTGCTGACAGTGCACATATAAAATGTTCTGCAGGTGAGAGCTGGTGAGGACTCCACCTCTTCCAGGAAACTACTTCTTCCCAGCGCGATCTTCGATTTAAAAGAAGTGTGAGATATTTCTCTCCTTTTCTCTGTCACTCTCTTCAGTTTTTTCTTCTTCCCCCTCTCAACACATAGGTGGATTAAGGCTGAGGGGCTTTTGTTTAGATAAAGCGAAGGATTAGGGAGAGATTTGCCCCCATAAAGTTGTGGGCTTGATGGGCCTTTTATCCCTGCATGTCCCTAAAGCTGTGTTGCTTCTGGATTAAGACCATACAATGGGGCTCCTTGTGCAGGAGGGATCCGGGCCAGAGAGAAAGAAAAAAAGACAGAGAGCGAAGAAGGGAAAGAAGCAAGACGGAGGGATTGAGACGATGGGAGAAAAGAGGGCAAGAAGAAAGACAAGCTGAGACGAAGGGAGAGGGGAGGGGAAAAGGGGGGGATTTTCTAGCTTTTAGAGCAAACTGACAGGTTGGAAACTTTTCGAGGAGGGATTTGTGGCGGAGATTCTGAGATCTTGTCACCAGTAAAAAGGGATTTGAGGAGGACTCCGAGGTGTGGCGCTGACAAGAAGCCACCTCGCTGTAGCTGTGGCTCTAAAATTCATTTAGATAATCAGCTGGAATGAAAAGAAAAGAAGTGTGTGAGCAGGTCTTACCGTGGCAGCGCGGCTAATAATGTGTCCACGACGTGGCTCCTGGCCAAATGGCTTTGTTATTCTTGTCAAAAAGGTCCGCCGCAAGAAGTCGATTTTAAACCACGACTCAAAATGATTAATTGCTGCGGGATGAACAGATGCTGGAATACCCTTGAATGGTGCCAGGGAGGCTGAGGCTCGCTGGCCTACCTAATGCATGCAAGGAGCTGCAGAAACATCATTAAGGACATTATTAATATAGAAAGATAATTATAATACTCAGATTTTTACACTCTAATAAACAAGTACGTCCTAAAATTTAGAAAAACAATTGCCATTGTTTTAACTCTATAATTGACGTCAGTTGGCTGTGGTGGCCATCTTGGATTAGACAAGCTCCAAATATGTATCAGTTGTAGATGTGCGTCCTTTTCTGGGAGTTTCATGGAAAATCTGTTTAATGGTTCATGAAATATTTTGCTAACAGACAGCCAGAATGTAAGCCAAATATTTAAGCTAAAGTTTTAGGCAAACATCTCACTCCGACAGCAGCACATGGTGTTTTTAGGGACTCTCAGCTACTACCACATCAAGCTGTAGAACAAAATCTGTTCACTGAGTTCATGTTTTTAAGATCAGCAGGCTGCCGGGGTCATCTAGAAATGTAGTGGTGCACTGAAAGATTATTTCCTGAAAGCTTGATTAAAATCTGTCTTCAGTCTCATGAGATATTTTGCTAACAGATGTACAGTTACAACATTTTAAACAAAGCCTTTGCAGTCTGTTAGTGCTCAGAGCATCAGCTACTACCACACCATACTTTAGCTCGTTATCTGTGAAGCTGACTGAGTTTTCGCCATCTCTGTGCTCTCTAAGGTCAGCTGGCTGCGGCGGCCATCTTTTCTAGAGGTGACTTCAAAAACTAATCAATTGTAGTTTTACATGTAGTCAATAGTTTCTGAGAATGAGTTAAGCGCTTCATAAATTATTTTGCTAACAAAGACACAGAGACACTGGCAAAAACATCATTGCCCGCCTTAGCCTTCTGGCCAGTGATAATTAAAGCAGCTGACAGCTGATGCTGAAGTGTGTGTGTGTGTGTGTGTGTGGGGGGGGGGGGGGGGGGGGTTATCAACAGACAAGTTTTGACTTTTAAAAGCGGTGGTCCAGGTTTGTCCTCCGCCCCGCCCCCCTCCTTGATGCAGGGGCCCAGGTAGGAGCCGCGCTGTACTCCGGCGGCTCTGAGGAGAAACTCTGCTTTAATGGCTTTAGAGACGGAGCTCAGAGAGGCAGTGGGCAGATTTACCTCCCGTTTAAATTCTTATTTCCATCGGTTCACAAGTTAATCCTCTTTCTGTCCCCGAGCGGGCAGAGGACCCGAAGAACCAGAACCAGAACCAGAACCAGAACCAGAACCAGCGCATGAGCTTTTCCAGGCGAGGAGGAAAAGTCACAGAGGCGCAGGAAAAGAATGAATCCAAAGAAAAGCTGCACATGTTCGATTCCATCAAGACCAGCTGATATTAATAATTATAATCATAAAATCTCAATGATTATACGTCATAAACATAAAATATTTAAAGAAGGTTTCATGGGATTTATTAATGTCTTTTCTCAAAACTGATCTTTCTTTATATTTTAACACTGAGATTTTTACATAAAATTAAAATAAATTGCTGGAAATTTTGTATTTTCTGCACAAAGGATGCACAAAGAGAGCTGGAACTTGCTAAAGATGCTAAATGCAAAATTAAAATAAGCAAAACAGATGGTTTAAAAAAAGCCAAAAACTGAAAATATCAGAACATTATAAAAATTGAAATAAACAAAACAGTAGCTAAAAATAAAAATAAAGCAGCGGGAAGAGTTTTTCGAGTCCTATTAAAATATCTCAGTCCATATGCAAATCAAAATTATAGTAAATGTTTAAAAGTTACAAAAAATTTAAAATCATTGCTATATGTCTTGAACTGAAGCTGAACGATCAGATGAATTAGCTGGAGGTCCTCGAAGTAACTATAAACAGGAAAACAACAACAACAATAATAACAATTATTATGATAATAATAATAATAATAATAATAATTATTATTATTATTATTATTATTATTATTATTATAAGGGGCCAGAAGTGTCAGTGTTCTGTGACCTCACGCTCGTTCAGACTTTTTGTTGCCATTTAGTTCCGGCTCAGAATATATTTTGGACCGAGCCGGGTCCGACTCCGAACCGAAGGTGCAGCTCCGTTAAACGGCTCCAGCTCTGCCCTTAATTCTCCACATAAACGGTTTTGCTCCGGGAGAAGAAATCCTCCTACAAACCCTTCAAGAGGAGAAGGGCATTATTGCCCTAATCCTCTTACCCGCAGTCATTTCGAGCCGGGCTCTGCGGCGGCTCGTCCTGCCATCATCATCATCACCATCATCATCATCATCATCTGCAGCAGCGCGGGCTCCTCCCGAGGCATGCCGGGAAGCCGCAGAGCAAACACCTTGCTGCCTGCGCGTGGAGACTGACCCGCTTCGACAAAAACAAGTCGTTCAACAACTTGTTTATCAATTTAGTTCAGTTGAGACTGGGAGGAGTGCATATCGCCCGCGGTGATGCAGCGCAACCTCATGTCTCTGAAGATGTCAAGAGAAATGACTCTCAGCTACCACCACATCAAGGATGCGTCATCAAATATCAGTTGCCTGCGGTGGCCATCTTGAATGGAGTTGTCTCCTAAAGTTAAACACTTTAGAGGTACATAATGATTATTTTCTGCAAGTTTCATTGAAATCCGTCCTGTGGTTCGTGAGGTATTTTGCTAACAGACACGAACATGCGCACACATTAACAAGCATCAACATCCTCGCGCAGGCTTTAGCTGGCGGACGATCATATAAAAGCGCTTGTTATGACGCCGGCGGGACTTCAGCTGATTGAAGGAAACTTTTCTTCGTGGAGGACTCGTGGGCGTGAGCTCGTTTTTAAACGATCGTTTGAGTGACAGCACCGACAGCCAATCAGAAGCCACGTCGAGCCCAGCGGAGCTCTCCTTTAAATGCCGCCGCGGGGAGCTCGCGCTCAAGCAGATGGCGGCTTCCCACCGCAGCGCGAGACTCGGAGAGATCAAAGGAGCGAGAAGGAGCGCGAGCGAAGTGAAGCGACGGGCCCGAGGACTTTTATCCAGTTTCTGTTAACGGACCAGGAGGAGGAAGCTGAGCCGAACCGAGCGCAGCCGAACCGAGCCTGAACGAGTCCGGCAGCTTGTCGGTCGGTGTCAGAGGCAGCGAACAGCAGAGACTGAAGGTAAACACGAAAATCAATCAAATGCTTTCACTTTGATCAAACAAACACCGAGCAGGCTGCACCTTATTGTGTTGGAGAATAAAAAATACACTTCTCACATTTTAGCTTTTTGTTCAAACACAGTTTTTAAATGACACGTTTATTAAACCAAAACCTAATCTGACTTAAAAAATAATCCAAAAGCAAAACAAGCAAAAACTACACAAAAACTTTGTTCACTTCCTTTCGTCAGCTGGAGGATTTTTAAATTATAATAATAATTATTATTATTAATTAATTAATTATTATAGTAGTAGTAGTGGTATTAAAAAATAAAATGATTCAAATAAATGTAATTGCGTTTATTTATTTTTGCTTCAGTTAAGCACATGTCAAGTTTTAGGATCACAAACTTATTTGACAGTTTTGACATTTTATGACTCTTAAATCCTCGGAGGTAGAAGTTTCAGAAGCCCGCAGCTGCGCGTGAAGAGGGTGCGTGGCCCCCCAGGCCTGCAAGGAACATCCGTTTGTCCTCATTTAGCGGGACCACAGAGCTGCACTGTAAACACGCACATTTCCATAATGACAGCGTGAAATGGGGGGGGGGGGGGGGGGTGAATGACAATGACACCATGACGGAAAACAATGAGTCCAGTTAGTTCCGGGTTCGAGCAGTGATGACGCGCAGGCGCAGCAGTGACGTGAAGATGAGATTTATTAAATGTTTCTGTCTGAGCAGCTTGAGAGTCAAAACTGAGGGAAAGTCCGTGCGCAAAGGGCGCGCGCGCGGCACGCAGGCCGTCCGTCCCGCGTCAGGTCGGATGATAAATGGAGGCCCCCGCAGTCCAAACCTATTTGCACTTCCATTAGACCCGGGGGGGGGGGGTCAACGTGCATATGATTTTATTTCTTTATTTATTTTACCCGCGGAGGATCCATACATCTCAGCAGAACTGCCCCGCGGCGGAGGGATAAGAGGCCGCCGGGGGGGTGGGGGCGATGGGGGGGGGGGGGGGGGCATTCAACTCCAACACCGCGGGGAATAAAGTAAATGTCTAGCGAAGCACCTTCTGTCCCGGAGAATTAAAACTATTCCCCCGCCGCCATCTGATCACATTCATCAGCAGCGCTGGGCACCGCGGGCACGCGCACACGCACTTACTCTGTGCACGGTGACTGACTTTTAAAAAATGGACAGAAAAACAAAGGTTTTTATTATTGTTGTTGTTGTTGTTTATTGTTGTTAGAGCCCGACTGAATTGGTTAATCAATATTTTTAAGAACTATTCGATGCAAAGTATAACATCAAACTTTAAGCATTTCTTCTAAACTAGATAAATTGAAAAGATAATAAAACGCGGGCCACACTCAATGTAAACAAAGCCCTTTTCTCACTTAACAAATCTTAGTGTAAATACACAGGAGTTGTCAGGTTGTTGACTGTTTTTGTTTGTATCAAACAAAAGTGGCAGCTCTTCACAAAATTTGCACTCAGCTCTTTAATTTAAATACACATTAATTGAAAGCAAACATTCAAATTTGTTTTCTTTATTTATTTCTACTGGTCTGAACATTGCACTACCTTAACTGAGTCCACTAACTATAAAATGACAGTTTTAAATGAGACAGACTAATTATTTAAATTGTTATTATTATTATTATTATTATTATTATTATTATCATAAGACAAACAAGCAAGTCAATCTAAACTACAAAACGGCTGCTGTGCAGGAAATCTGGATCCTTGAAACATGAAATAAAATTTGTGAGTTGTGTGAAATACATAAAATATTTCATGTTGAATTTAAAACATTTGGTTAAACTATTTTTTTTGGACTGAATAAAGATTGTCCACTTGCAGTGCATTACCGTTTGTTTGTTTAAATGTTTTTGAGTTATTTTGCTTCTTCTACTTTTGAAAGAATTACAAATCTTCTGAGCCCGTTACATGAAAAATAAAATGAGAAGAAAGCTAAAAGCAATAATAATAATAATAATAATAATAATAATAATAATAATAATAATTTTAGATTCCAGCAACCAGGACTAAATCCATAGAAAACCCACAATTTTATTTTATTTTTATATTACAGTACTCACATTGTAATTTTATCAGCACGTTTGTGCATTTACAGAAAATAAACTCTAATAAATATTTTTAAATTTACTTACATCAACTGTTTAAATGAGGCTATTTGAGTTTTCTCACCACTACATGGTGAGGGACTGAAATGCAAAAGCAGCAAATATGTTACAAAATTGCAAACAAGTAAACAACTCGACAGCCCTTATGATTTATTTAATGCTAAATAAAGGTATAGTGCGTTTATATCTTATAGAATGGCCTTATTACAATTAAACCTGTTTTAAATCGAGTAAAAGATCTAAATTAAAAATAATATTTGTATGATTACAATGAATTTAATGCTTAATATGTTTTCAGTAAACTGTGTTTTTTTTATTTTTATCACATGGTATGAACTATTTCCAGCTTGTTGTTTAGGTCCATGTGAACAGAACCAGTCCCAGTGGAGAAGATGGTTGGGCCCTCAGAGATTCTCCTCCCGTCAGCTTTTCATTCATGCAGAATCCTGAATGTAAAAATAAATCAACATAAAAACACAGGAGGCCACAAAAAAAATAAAATAAAAATAGTAATGACTTCGAAAAGTTCTGCTGTTAAATTTAAAATGAATTACAATAAATTATCGTAAAATCTTTAGCAGCGTTTAAAGAATATTTTAAAATTTCCTCTCGCGGGTCAGAATAAATCATTTAGAGTTTTTGTCAGGGCCGAGGGTGAAGCCTCCTCCTCCAGGCCGGAGGAGAATGAGTCCAATTCAAAGTCTTTAGTATAATTAATGGTTTGGACAGAGCCCTAATTGGATGTTAATGGATAACACTTTAGTCTGAGCGCGCGCACATCTGTTGGCCCCAGGAGCTTCAGCTCATTTCATGACAATGATCAAAGAATAATCTCACGGGTTTGATCCTCTGATAATGAGAAGCATGAGAGCGCGCGCTGTCTCCTGCAGCCTCACAGTCCTGTCTCGCTCCGCAGGTCGGCCTCCCAGCATGCAACACTACGGGGTGAACGGCTACTCCCTGCACGCCATGAACTCCCTGAGCGCCATGTACAACCTGCACCAGCAGGCCGCCCAGCAGGCGCAGCACGCGCCCGACTACCGGCCCTCGGTGCACGCGCTCACACTGGCTGAGAGACTAGCTGGTAAATGAGCGCGCGCGTGCTCACACTTCACAAACTCAATCAACCTTGTTTTTTTTTTTTTAAGTCTCTGCAGAAATAAATGCGCGTGTTAGAAAGTTAAAGCGTGTTTTCTCTTCCAACGGCTGCGCATTTCAAGACATCATCCTGGAGGCCCGCTACGGCTCGCAGCACCGCAAGCAGCGCCGCAGCCGCACCGCATTCACCGCACAGCAGCTCGAGGCGCTGGAGAAGACCTTCCAGAAGACGCACTACCCGGATGTGGTGATGAGGGAGCGGCTGGCCATGTGCACCAACCTGCCCGAGGCGCGCGTGCAGGTAGGAAACAACGCTGCTTTCAAATCATTATCATCATCATCATTATTATATTATTATTATTATTAAAGGAAATATATGTTTTAAAGGCAGGAAAAAAGGTTGTGAATTTATAATGACAAATATTATTAAAAGCAAGAAAAACTAGTTTTAACATTTAATTGTGTCTATATATATATATATATATATATATATATATATATATATATATATATATATATATATATATATATATATATAAATTAATCTCATAAACTCAACGGAACACAGTAAATATAGCTAATGTTGAAATCAAGAAATTGTACCTTTTAAAAATAATACATATATACACAGTGTTTTGAACTTTATGGCAGCAACACAAGAGTTGTGGTGCAGAGGTTAGAGAAGGTGGGTCTGATCAGAAGGTTGCAGGTTCAACTCCCTGGATCGACAACATAAAAATGTGTGTGGGACAGTGAAACACCCACACCTGCCTCCGTCCTCATTTCCCCACTCTGTGCCCTTGAGCAAGGCCCCACCATCTGCTCCCGAACAGGTCTCACATGAGTCCTCGTGACTCAATGAGACTACCTGTATAAATAAAGGTTAAATAAAATAAGTAAATAAAAATAACTCAAAAAGTTGGATGGGGCAACGAAACGCTGTAAAAGTAATTAACAGCTGGAGGAGAACTTTAAAGCTCATTAGGCTCATTGTCAGTATAGACTGCAAATAAAAAGAGCATTTTAGAGAGGCTGTGTCTAGTAGAAGTAAAGATGGGCAGAGGTTCACCAGTTTACACTTTACACACCATCCAGCTTTTATGGAATCAAGGTTGAATTTGAACAATAAACAGAAGTGGAACGGTTGAATTAACACAACAAAGCATGAGGAGGTGTTTACCCAAATATCCAGTGGGTTGAGGGACAGTTAGTAATTGAGCTAAAATAGAACTTTAAATAAAGATGAAAAGATTGCCATTTGGCAAAAATCCTCCTGGGGTCACGTCTGATTATTAAATCTGATCTTTGAGGAAGAACTGGGTGAGAGCTGGAGCACAGGCTTTGGAAGAAAACGATGAGCGCCAAACGATTGGAAGGAAAAGCATCACAGTCCTCTGGAAGACCAAACGACACGAGTCAGCTCTCCAGTCCGTTAGACACGACGTGCAGCAGGGCTGACCACATGGAAGCAGTGCAGGTATTTTAGAGACAACTCAGCTGCGATAGATTTATCAAAATGAAACTTTAGCAAGAGGAATCAGACGTTAAACTGAGTGAACGGTGAGCACAAATTCAGCTTTTAGGAGTCGTTTCCCTCCAGACACCATGATGTAGTCCTACTTCAGTAAACAATGTTCCTGCTAAACCTTTCAGATGATAGAACATAATTTTATATTTAATTCTGTTTGCTTTTAGATATACTGGTTTTAAGCATATACGGTGACCTTGGGTCTTTTTGAACTGCACCTACAGTATAAATAAAAACATCCATCCATCCATCCATCCATCCATCCATCCATCCATCCATCCATCCATCCATCTATTCATCCATCCATCCATCCATCCATCCATCCATCCATCCATCCAT